AATTTCAAACACCTGTTTGTAACCGATCAGTTAAAATGTTTCCTGAAATGCAGGGTAAAGGAGTGCAAAAGGATGAGGCCTCTCACCAGGGAGCAAATAAGAGGATAAGAGTGATTCTCAAATTGGGCAACCTGGGGTGCCAGGAGATTCTTGTAAGGCTGCCATGGGGTGGCACACAATATTAGCACTATTAGGTATGCAAACACCTACACATGATTCACAAGATAAACCCAAAGATTTCAAATAGGAATCCAGAGTGGTGAAAACATCATTTCCTCTTACGGTCTTTCTGAGGTCTTTGCAACAAAAATATTGTTCCTATCATTTAGTAAGAAAATGAGTGAAAGCTAAGAGCTGCTGGCATTTTCCTGGGGATGCCCAGTCCAGAAGAGAAGCACTGGGATAAAGGTTATTTAAGCATTCAGCCAAGTTCAGGATTCTAGATCTAATGGAGCTTGTAAAACTTTTCCTGAAGGGTTGCATATTCTCTCATCTCTAATGGGGGTCACTTCAGTATCCCTGTGATGGTCACCAAAATCTGTTTATATCTCCTATCTACAGTATGGGCAAGCTTTATACATGGGGAGTCCCGTTCTGTGCATGCTGTTAACTGTTTTCTTTTCTGGCTTAGTAATTTCTTTCCTTGCCCTGTGTTTGGAGAGACATATCAATTTATCTTAATATTGTTAGAAGTTTATGTCTTTGACCTTCATGAAATAATTTGGTTTCCCTTTGCCCTCCAAACCAGGCTGGGGAAGGAATAGGAGACACTGGTATATATCATTATTTTCACTATAGTTTATTAACTTGCCATTGGATGAAATAGTGGATTGTAGGTCGCCTCCTGTACAGGAAAGTTAAGCATTTGGTAGCACTTGTCTTATTCCAAAGAAGCTATACTCTTGGGGGGTTTGTATTTATTTATTTAATCTTTTTGTACAGAAGTCTCAGGAAAATACACAACAAAACATGAAGAGTACTCGTGGAGAAAGGAAAATAAAACCACAGAGAGCATCTGTATATATGTGACTAGGCTTCAAACCTTGGTCATCTCTACAACTTGCCTCTAAGAGCCTATGTACATAGGCTTTCCACTTGTGCTCCCTCCTATTACCCTACAATGTATTGTCTTTTCACTGTAGGACCATTTGTGTCCACTGCCATTTCATCTTCTGCCTCTCCCGTCAATACCAAATAATAGTAAGAGGATGGTTGTCCTAGTGCTGTCTGGTAGTGCTTATCTGGCACTTAATTTTAACCTCTTCTCCCCACAACACATACAGTCTCTCCACCTCTATCAAGCTAACCAAATATTCCCATAATGCTCTGGGCATGAGCTATACTAGGGCTATGATCCTTAAATTACCATTGAAGTGATAAATTGGATTTTTCTCTGCTACAGAGGGCCCAGACAATGGAAAGTCACCTTGACAAAAGCAAACTTGGAAGAGATTGTACAGTACATTAATCCTAAACTTTCTCACAGTACTTCAGAACTTCCTCTTCCCAGCGTAGTCCAGGAAGTGCAGAGCGTGAAGAGAAAGTAGGGGGTGTGAAGGAAGGTGAAGTCAGTCAGGTGAATGAAAGGTCAGATAAAATGAGAACCTTGCTCACTCACACCCATCTGTTGGACATAATGTCTCTCTCTACTACAAAAGTTTAGTTTAATTTTTCTGGGGTTCTCATAGGGTCAGGAACAGCTGAAGCTAACTGCTGACTCATAGCAGGAGTGACTGCTCTATTTTGTATAGCCCCCTTATGGCGGTGTACCTTTGGGTGCTTGCCACTTTAAGGGCATGAGCAGGCTGTGTGGCAGCCTGCAGGTGACTGCAGAGCCAATCAGGTGGTCACATGACAGACAGGATGCCACCTGATTGGAGCAGGGCTGAGCAGCCTCAGTATAAGAGCAAGCCCTGAGGAGCAGGACGAGCAGTTGCTGCAAGGATGCTGCTGAGATAATATCGCCGAGCTGGAGCTCTTCTGCTCCCAGGAACGTTCTGGAGGTCAAGGGTAGGATCTGTGGGGGAAGCAGGAGGTTCCTGGGACCCAGTGGTATCCCAAGCCCGGAGGAAGTGGCTATAGGCTTGGAGCTGAGGAGAAGCCATGTGCATCTAGGCTTAGAGAAGGCACAGGTCAGCCTAGGAAGGGGGCTTGGGGAGTGTGGGCCTGCAGAGGGGCTAGGCAAGCCCCTGACTAGAACTGGCAGCGACTTGCGTCAGGGGCTCGGATGAGCCCAATGGAGGAATAGGCTGCTGGGTATAAGATTTCTGGGGCTCAAGGCAAGCCTGGTGTGGGCTGATGGCTTCATGGTGGGGCCCAGGGGGGACCCCGGCTGAGTGGGATGGACAGCAGCTGCCAGACTGACCCTTTGAGCCTCAACTGGTCAAAGCAAGGGAGCCAGGACCGATAGGCCGAATCCCACCGTGGGGGGCAGGCCACGGCTGTAGAGAGCTGCTGGCCTGGAAGCAGGGCCAAAGCCTAAAAGAGGCTGAAGATCCCCTTAATTGGGGGTGGGGCATCACTGCCAAAAGAGAATAAGTGGTCAACTGGCCAGGACGCTGGTATGACAGAGGTTGAGGCTCAGCCTCCTGATGGGAGGTATCCTGCAAGGGGCCTGAGGGAGAGAAGAGGCCAGCAGCAGAGAATCGGATGATGTGGTGGAGGCTGTAATAGTGCCCAGGAATGAGCAGCCCAGAAGGAAGAACACCGAGGAGCCCAGTGAGAGAACAAAAGACCAGGGCAGATAGACCTGTGCTCGTTCTGGGGAGTGACCTAAAACTACACCCTGTTGGTGTCAGACGGTGTGGTGGGGTTGCCTGTGGAGGGGCAGTCTTCAGGAAATGCCACACCAGTGCCTCCCTAGTGAAAGGCAAGTATGGGACATTGGAAAGCCTCAGCCTCCACTGCCTTGTGGGTGACCCTGTGGAGGGCAATGGCATGTCCTGACATAAAAGCACCAGGCTTAGGCAACACCACAGGGGCCAGGAGGCCCCGAGGCCTGATAAGAGGGAGAGTAGGGTCTAGGTATGTCCACAGATGCCCGAGGCCTGAGTGGGCCATAGGTCAAGAGTGGGGTCCAGGGATGTCGACAGACACCTGAGGCCCAAGGGGTGTAAAGCCCTGGAGCTCCAGTGAAGGGGTGGAGTGCGATGGGCCAAGAGCCTAAGGAGAGGCAAGGAGCCCAGAGTGTGTGTGGGAGTAGAGGCCCAAGTGAGGAGGCATGTGGCCCAGGCGTGTCTAAGGACACCTGAGGCCAAGTTGAGCCAGAGGTCGGGCTAAGGTATATTTGAGGATGCCAGAGGCAAAGTGCAGCCCAGCAATGGGGCCAGGGAAGTAATAGTGGAAAAGATTTTTGGGTGCCATCTGCCAAGGCATGGTGAAGGGGAGGTCAGAGCTGTGTATTATGCCCTTTGGATCAGGACATTAAATGGGTAGCCTGCCACACTTTTTTCCGACTGTTTTTCTTTGATACGTCAAGGCATGGCGGGTGAATTGGGGTGAACTGCCCTAGGCAGGTGAGTGAGCCGACGTTGTGACTGGCCCTGGAGATGGCCCCCTGTCCCACCTCTCTTCACCCTCTGAAGTACAAGGATGGTCCTCAAATTTGCTACTTTGTGAAGGAGGAAGGCATTAGTGAGGCTTAGAATTGGTTTTGGGTAGCTAGCCCTGGGCAAATAAGATTTAATGTGGTCCAGGTCCTGCCCCATCAGTGTTTACGGTCCTATCTAGAACCTTATCAGCTTCATCGTTATTTAAATCTGAAGGACTTTCTCACAGAGGCCTAAGACTAGACTAGCAAAGAAGCAACTTAGTAATGTGTTAGGGTGGTGGGATGAGGGCTGGCACTAAGAGGCAACTCTTCCTTTCCCCTGTTGTTTCTGAGGCTCTTCCCCATGACCCTCTTTCTCCTTTTAAAACAAGGCTCTACTGGCCACGGACAGAGAACAAATATGAAAAGGCATTGGACCTCCAGCCTTTAGGCTACTTTATTTAACATCAGGCTTCTGCCCCACCACGTCCCCCCGGCCTTTCCAGTGGCTGTAAAGAGCTAGAGCACTGAAGAACTCCTGTGGGGTTCCTTTGCAAAGATGGGGTGGGGTCCAAGCCAGGGGATGGTGTAAGGACAATAGGATGAATCTGGGGACCCCACAGGATATTGCTTAAGCTGACTGCACAACCAGAATCTGAGTCTGTGCTGTGCTCTGAGAGCCACTAGGCAGGCTGCCAAGAGATGAGCCCCATCTGCCCCAGGGTGGACTCTCCTGAGCCAGGTGTAGACATATCCCAAATGCTATGGAAAATGAATAGCTATGCTGTACCTTTCAAGCTGTAAGGCAGCTTAACTTCTTACTAAAGAGTGGGGCAAAACTTCTGAGCTTGGGTGTTTTCGGAGTCAGGGGTTAAACCTTCCTGAGGAAGTAGTGGGGGGCAGGAGGGGAAGGGCACATGCCTTGCAGTAAAGCAGCAATTTCCTTCATGCACCTTGACCAAGAAGTATCTGCCTAAGTCTGGCATTGTGCAGCGTTCCCTGTCAGAGGCAGGGCTGTTCAGAGCGCGTGAGTCGGGGCCAGGTTGTGTTTATCGGAGGGGGGAAGGCCTGAGGGGGAGCAGGTGGCAATGCAGCAGGAAACACCTGTTCATGTTCCCACCAGCCCTCTGCTCCCTGCACTCGGTGTGAGAGCTGCCCTTCCAGTAGAGCTTGCTCGTGCCCAACACCAGTGAGGAGTGCAGTGAGAGCCATTTGCAGCCTGACCCCTTTCCTCTGTCCCCAGACCTGATGATGGGATTCTTGCCTGCCAGAATGGATGGCGGCTGCTTTGTCAGAGATGGGAGCTACAGAACAGCTGGGAGCAAGTAAGCCATGGGGAAAGAAAGGAGGGCACCTTTTGCACTTGCTGGGTGAGGAGGATGTGCCTTTTGTTACCAAAGGTGTTCTGCGAATTATTTCACACCCTTCTGGGCTGGGCTGCAGTAATTGGATATCACAGAGCCATTCAGTAGTGCAAAGTATTGTGTGCTTGCTTACATCAGCAATTGTGCCCAAATTGGATGGATTTGATGGGTGGATTTGCTTTTGGGGCTCTCAGGGAAGCATTTTCCAGTAAGCAGTCCACGGAGGAGATGGGTTGTGAGAGGTAAGATCCCTCGTGGGGGTTAATATGCCTTGGCACTAACATTGATTATCGTAGCTTAAATTCTAATGTCCATACAGATGTTGGCTTTTCTGTTGAAAGCATAGCAAGGTCCACTCAGCAGTGAATGTAGCAGGAGCTTTTGTGAAGAGGACTGCTTTCCATTTGGAGCTATTCTGAGACCCACCAAGCTCATGTGGGCCACCAAATTGGTGCTTGTATGTTAAACACTTAGCTTCATCCAGTTTTGGCTCATTCCTGATGGAAAGAGTTCTGCTGACCTCTGAGTTTTGGATTGGGCTGTTTGTCATTTCATTGAGAAGAAAGTCCATTAGGGGGAGGTACAGATCTCAAAAGCTTGTGTTTTGGTCCTGACTGTCTCCAGGAATTCCTCTCTGACCTCGGGAAAGTTGCTATACTTCTCTGTACCTCAGCTTTCCCGATTGTCTAAAAAAGGAGTACCCTCCAGGAATGTTGAGCAGCTTAATGTGTTGAGGTCTGTAAGGAGCATAAATACTCAGATTCACTACCAATTGTCTTGGAGATGTGAAGGCCTCTGTAATGCTGCATTTTGAATTCCTTTGAGAACTTTGTTGCTGATCATTACTTCATGTGGCAGTTAGGAGTGGTGAGAAACCCAACCGGTCTGTGTTAAGGTCCCTTAAGGTATGCAGCTATTTTTTCAAATCGTGGAACTTTGTCATTGATTCATATATATATATATATATATATATATATATATATATGCACACACAC